TCGGCTTTAGTAAGCCGGCTGCACAGAGAAATGGTCGGTGTTAAAAAGCCTCTGCAGGGGTGTGCCAGCATTTGCTGTGTGCTGCTGTGTTTGATGTCACAGTGGCAGCGCTCGACGTCAGGCTTCTGTCTGCTGGGTTTCTGCTCGCCGCTGTAAAGCACAGTGTCAGCTCAGGCATTACCATAGGCTGACCTTTGCCGCTGCTCTCCCCACTGCAAGGTTTTCTGACATTCAGGGGCGCTGTAGGGGAAGCAGGAGGGGGTGGCCTGCTGCATGCGTGTGTGTGTGTGTGTTTTTTTAGCCTTTAATGTGTTGATGTGTGTGCCGTTTTGTATTTTTATTTTAGTTATGCGTTACTGTTTTTGCCTCTGGGAGCTTGGAAAACAAAGACTCTGATCTGTCTGATATTCAGCTTCCCTCCACCCTGAACCTGCCTGTTGTCAGAGAGATTGCTGTTATCTTTCTGCAAAATCTTTGGCAACCAGATAAATGAGAGCTGGAAATCCTGCCTGCTAACATCAAGGCTCCATGTACCTAGAATCCTTCCAAGGCTGGAGGGAAAAGAATACCACATCAGGCCAATTACAGTTAATGCATGGTGACACGCTGAATCGAGGGCAGGGATCGCCGCCATATGGCGGCCCAGGCTGTAAAGCTGAAAGCAGGGGAAACGGTGCAGGATCAGGGGAGTGGGAGGTTGGCTAAGAGAAAAGGTGACGCAGCATTATCAGGGCAGAGCGCCTCCAAAACCTCCAGATCTGTCTCCAGACAGCCACTTCACCACCCACCGTGAGCCACCCACCATTCTCCCCCTTCCTCCCCTTTGCCGCTGTGCCCCTGCTGCACCCCCAGGTGCTACGCCCTCAGGTATCTGTGTATTACTGGCAGCTTCATTAAGCCTTGTTTTTCTCCTCTCCCTGGGAGGATTTAAATGAGCTGTCATCCTGACCTTTTTGAGCTCCCGATTTTTATTTTTATTTTTTTAAGCAAGTCAAACCCCTCCTTCCTGCCACCAGTCTTTCAGTCTTACCACCTTTCTCTCCGGCTTTGTCACTCTTTCCTCCTCTTGTCTATCCTCCCTGCGGGCGGTAAGGCACTTTTAAGCCATCACCCTGCGGCAGGCAGGCATGCCAAGGTTGTTTTGTTGGTAATTGCCTCTCTTATAGAAGCTTTTTGTCTGTGCAAACTTGCTGCCCTCCTCTGATGCCACACAGCTAACGGGGAGGGCACGGACTCTGTAGACTTAATTTGCTCCCTGACTGTTCTCCAGCGCTGATTAAGCAAGCATCTGTGGTGTTTAGAATACAGCAGCAAGACAAGTGGAGCATGGCTAACTATTCCCCTTCCTTCTCCTACTGAGTTATTGCACATAGTGGCTGACATTTATAGGAGCTACAGCTGTCCTTATTAATTTCCGCTCATTGCATCTTGAGCCTATGTCTCTAAAACAAAGGTCTCTTTGAATTCTGGAGACGTTTTAACCACCAGGACTCTCGTATATATTTTCTCTTCATATCGAAAGAAACTATTTTAGAGCAATAGGATAAAAAATGTTCAAAATTGATCATTAATTTATCAACTTATGACAGACAGCTGACATTTAAAGACTACATGTTTTATATATGTTATGTCCTTAAATGTTTTACTCACATACAAGGGTGTAGCTTTGGGATGAAAGTTGGTGTGGACGCTCTAATGGTGTCGGCCCGAACACTTTCGTTAGATTTTTGTATTTTCCAAAAATGAGCTCAAACATATATTTATTGAATGCTTTCCTATTGTTGAGAACACAAGTACCACAATACACTGATATTTATAGGTAGTTAGACAGATGCCTTTCAGTGCATTACATACATAGAGCCCAAAAACATCAATGTATAACAGAATAACAGCTGATTACGATGCCAAAATCGACATATCATGCATCCCTAGAAGTACAATTTCAATTCCATCCATCCATCCAAAATAATATGGATAAGCTGCATTTTAATTATTGCATTGCATATTTTTTCTTGTAAACTTTCTGTTAACTTGGAGATATATTTTTTGGCATGTTGCATATCCCGGTAAATCTGTTTCCGTTTAAATCTGCAGTTGTCCCTACTTCTCTCTGTGCTCTGTTTAAAAAGATATAGGAACCTCTTTACTAATATATTGACGGCAGAAACAAATTTAAAGATATATATAGAAGCTCTGCAGTCTTTTTCTGTCTGTGCAATAAGAAAACATCTTAATTTTAACCTGCAACTTGGAGTCATGGTCCTCTGAGAAGCTAAGATTTTGTAGTAAAGAATAACACAACAAACTGTCTTCTTAAGCTTCTTGCATTATATTACTAACTTGGATAAACTTATCTGTTGCCATTTTTAGCTGAAAAAGTCTAACAAACAGATTTTTCGGTGGCATAATTTTTTTAACCAAACCCGTCTCCCAACTTTTACATAAACATCATTTGAAGTAGCTGCCGGTTAAGTCTTCTGTGTGTATCTCCCCCTCCATGTAGCTACTATGTGTGCTGCGAATAGGGACTGCAGGTAATATTATGTCTCAAAGCAACAGATCCGATGATGTTACATCGAGAAGCGGGACACGGGAGCAGCGTGAGAGAGGAAAAAAAAACCACAGACTCAAAACGCTCTGAACACAGATAGCTGCACCCAACATCTGTTACCTTTGGCTAAAGTGGATTAGCAGAAAGGGGGGAAAAAAGCAGAAATTATTGGTGGGGACTGTCCCCACCAGTCCTTCACAAAGTTTCGCCTGTGCTCACATTAATGCACTAATATGATAAATCTGAGCCGATATTTATCATATACTTTCCTTCCCTTTGGATACTATGAAAAAAAAAACATAATGCTAAAACTTCAGTTAAACACCTTCAATCATAAAATTCATCATAATCACTGTTGACCAATCCACTCCTCCTCCTTTAACAAAAACTAAATATTAATATTAATGCCGATTTATGATGCAACCCTGCTTGTAAAGTTAATGGTGAAACTGTATCACTAACTACAGTATAATTGTAAATGTTTAAGCAAACTAAGTTCACAAACCAGTAACAATTTCTTCCCAAATATATAATGAATAAAGAAGCTAAAGGAAAAGGAGAATTAAACTGATGTGTAGATAGACCGATTCTTCTGCCGGCTGATATTTTTGGCCGATCTTAGCCATATATCTGTATCAGTTGATATTCAGTTCAGATGAGTTATTATTGCATTCAGCAGTCATGCCTTGCTGCTCACTGTGTTGTCTGTCCATTGTTAATATTTTGTTTGATTTGTTAATAAATGTCTATTTACTTTTTGTTTATTTTGAGACTTGTAAAACATTTTTATAATTGTGTCATTTTTTTATGTAAATGGAGGAAGAAAATCTAAATCAGTCTAAAGAACCAGTCCAAAAAAAAAAACCGCACTTATAATGGATCGGTTAATCCGACGTTGTAATAATCAACTTTTTAAAATACTTTGTATTGGTTGATATATAACAGTGTGTCCAAGCGACAGCATAGAACTACATTGCATAGAATCTTCTCCAAAAAAAAAACCAACAACATTCCAGTACCCCTCTGGGATACTACATTTACTTTATTACTGTGCTTATTTTATTTATTTATTATTTTTTTGAGTATCTTTACTTGAGTAATTTCTTTGGGGGGTACTACATTTCAAAGTCAAATATTGTACTTTTTTGCTCCTCTATATTTACTATATTACTATATTACTTGTTCCTTTTGGCTCAGCTTAGCTTTTTATTCACTGTTGCTGATTTTCTATCTTGAAATGCAATCTCAACATGCAAGATAGCTGCCCTCAGAACTGAATTTGGTCACCACTGTTTTAGAAATTTGCATTAAAATCCTCAAATGTGGGGAAATTCGGGGCAGATATTATTTGTAGTATATATATATATTTTTTATTAAGGTGTTAGGTGTTACCATGTGACCAAGTTGTTCAGTTGGATGAGTTCTGAAATCAGCTGGCATTATTTTGTGGTAATAAATTCAATTGTAAGACCGTAGTGAAAGTGTGAGGAGCATCAAGACTGTTCTGTTTTCTTTTTGGTTTGCTTTTATAGAAATAATAATCGAAATGGACTTTTGAATACTTCAGTATTTTCAAAAGTGAGTACTTCATACTTGCGTAGATGTTTCACTGAGTAACTTTTACTTTTTGTTGAGTAAGTTTTGACTATATGTATCAGTACTTTTGCTCTAGTACCAATGTTGATTACTTCGTCCACCACTGGCTATATGTTTCTGGTCGTTGTTTTCTCTCTATTGTCTCTAGTTTTATGCAGCTGCTAACAGCTTATCTTCCACGTTCGCTCCACTTACACTTAGTCCAATCTGTCTTTCATCATCTTTGACTAGTTTACTTTTTGTGCCCCCAACATGATGCTGCCAACATGTTTCTAGAATTGTTTCTTTGTTTAATAATCAGGGTGTTTTCTGAAGGAGATCTGTTGCACAGTAGTTTAGGGTTTTTGAAGTACAACAGAATAAAAATGCCCCGCCCAAAGAAGATGTTGCGCTTCTTCGTTTTAAATGTAAAAAGACAAAATGTGGAAAAGTTTGGTTACTTCCTCTGAAAGATGATGTTCGAAGCTTATTAATACCTTCAGCTGTAGATCGAAGGAAGGCAGAGAGGGCTGACTAGCTGACTTAGATGCAGGGTAGAAGTGGGGACTGGGTCGATTAAAGCAGCAAGTCCCTCAGGCCCAGTTTGCCCGTTTCACTTCAGCTGTTTGATGTTTAATTGAAGTTGTTATTGGCTTCAAATGTCACCTTACCTGATGCTGCAGGTGTGAATCAGTTTCTAATTGAAAGCTAACTATGTCCTCCTCAGCCCCATGCCTCCAGGGAGCAGCTCCAGACTTCTATTAGTCCAGACCCAGGCTCTGTATCGCCACGCACCATGTGCTGCCTTGCAGTTATGACTGACCTCTCCCCTATCCCTTCTTCTTCTTCCCCCTCTCTCTCTCTCTCTATGCAGTGTGAGGAGAAGTGCGTGTCCCATGTTGCATTAGTGTCTGTGTGAAATGCTGGCCTGTCTGCCAGGGCCAGGTGACCTCCCCCTCCAGCTTCTCCCCCACACGCAGATGAACACTGGACTGCAGAAATGTAAGTACTGATCTCAGGACACACACCCCTACACGCAGACACACAACCCAAAGCCGATAAAATTTCACATTAGATCCCACTGCCAAACCCAGCCCCTGCTCTCTCTCTTCGCTCGCTCTGCATTAAACCCCCGAAACGAGGAATATTTTTGTTCTCCTGAAGTGCAAATCTGTCTTCAAGGGAAATTAGGATGAACTGCGCCATTAATTTGCTGATGAACTAGCTACCCCCCTCCCACCCCAGCCCTCTCCCTCGTCCCCCCGTGAAGACGTGTCTGTCACCACAGCGCGGGCCCTGCGTGCTTTACCAGAACACCGCCATCGCCGCCGAGTGTTAAACACAGCCATCTCGCCTAATTTTCACCATCAGGAAGAGTCAGTTACTGTCAGACTTGCAGACAGATTGCGGCTGAGTGGTTTTGCCCCGCTGATCTTGTAATGCGAATGAATTTAAGATGCAATCTGCTGCCCTGGTTTAACAGCAGACTTGTCAGTGCCTGCCAGCTGAATTAAATGTGTTTAAATTTTACTACTGAACTGCTGACAAACTAGAGACTTTTGGGCATCTGAGCCTGCAGTGCAAATGGAAAAGTTAAGGTCAGGAAGAGGAGAGGATGACTCTTAGTGAGTGGTGGGGATGAATACATGAATATAAATAGTTCTATTAAAGTTTGTTGTATTTTTTAACCAATATATATATAAAAGTTTTCAAATAATCAACAGTAATTTGTTGATTTACACGTGTTTTATTCAGCAAATTTCTGGTTTTTACAAAATGAAACAGCAGAGCTGCGGTTTTGATTGCGATCCATTAGGTTTGCTACCTTCACCTCATTTCAAAGAGTCTCCTTTTCCTCCCATCTGAGTCTCTCTCTCAGCAGAAACCCGGCCTCAGTCTGACCCATTTTTTCCCCAAGCTTTCTTTTTGTGAAATGCTCCTGCTCATCAAGACTGTAATTTCAGAATCTCAGTAATCAGCCAACCCCCAGGAGATCAGCGAGCATGAGGGAGTCTGCTAAGTGCCAGCGTCTGTTGCTTCTCTCAGGCAGCCTTGTGACACGGTGCAGCCCAGACTGTGTCTCTGCTCTTCCCTCATTTCTGACGCACCAAGACACATCTGAGCACAACTGGAGTTCATTTTGTTTTTCCTGTCCAACACTGTAATGCATTTATGTGTGAGTGAGTTGTGATCTCAAGAAGGGTAATTTCAGTCCATTTTTTTCCTTTTCATCTGTTCTTCAAACGCACTGATACATCAAAGACATAGATCTATTTCATTTCCGGTTTTATCAAGAAGACAAAGAAAAATCCAGTCCAATCTCAGCTATAATCCAGCACCTATAGATCAACTCTATGTGAGCAGCTTTATTTTCCGTCTATTTCTCAGTCGTTTTTAAATACTTCTCGTGATTCTCAAACGTATTTAAACCTCTTCCATCTTTCAGTTCTCCGTTGGTGACTCGGTGTGTTTTTCTTGGGTTACTCTGTGATGGAAAACAAAGTAGAACATAAATACATAAGAAACTGGAAATGATTTAACAAAAAAGAGACAAATACAAGTTTAGATCTGGTCTGGATTTAGTTCAACGCACTTAAATAAAATGCACATCTGGTTTTAGGGACAAAGTTTTTGAAGTAGTTTAAACCAGGTTTATGTTGTAAACCAATACCCCTAATCCCTAAATCTGTTTAAAGGTAGTCACCCCCTCAGGTGGGGGTGTCTGTTGATAAAACAGCCATGGAGTCCAGAAATCTAGCCTTTGTCAAGATCTGACAAGTGGAAAGCCATTGTTGAAAGAAAGCAGCTCTTTGGCATTTGCCACAAGCCATATAGGAAGTGTGGAAGAAAGTGGCTTTCGTAGCTTAAAGAATAAAATGGTCTTTTTTTAGGTCTACGTAGAAAAATCAGCCTGTAAAAGTAAACCAGAACTGGAGATTAGTGTGAGTACACTGTAAATACACAGAGGTGGGTAGTAATTGCTTAAATTTATCCAGTTAAATTTTCATGAGTATCATAAAAAAACAAAAAACAACACAACATTTAGGAGTAGTTTTACCTGAGTAATACTTCTCAGTATCGCTTCTCTGATTCATTTGCATTATAATACAAATATGCATGTTTATATGTGATTAAAAGCATGAAATCATAATTTTTTTTATGTTACTTATTTTTTTTTTTTTTAGTCTTTAAAACACCAGATCTTCCACATAACATCTAACTACATAATTTCTAAATTCCCATTTATGATACAACATTTAAGATATGCATGAGGGGCCTTTTTATGAAATACTTTCAGGTCTTACACCGGGATCATACTTAACGCGGTGCGGCTGCAGTGCAGGGGCCGAAACGAACCCAAAATCTTTCACATCAATGTGTCCGCTCATTGCGGGTATGGTTACCAAGGCTGCGCGAATCAACAAAGTTTTTCCACAAGAAGGAAGTTTGGCGGAACATTCCAGCGGCCTGCATCAAGCTTCTTAATTTAATACAACAAAAACGAAAAGGTTACCCCAGACAGAAAAAGTTTCCATTATCTTATTATTATCTTAACAAGTGATAACAAGAGAGCAAAAGAAAAACAGAGGGCATATTGTGGTAAAAAGGGATATTTATTTGCACAGCTATCTAGTTTTCTTTCCTGGTAAGAGTTTAAACCCATAGAAACTTTTTTCTGGAGCGTCGTTCCTGCAGATGGAGCCACAGCAGGGAAAGCCTGGTGGCAGCGGTCACTGTGAGTGACTTTCTGCAACACACCGGCGTCGCACCGTCTTCGCTTTCAGTGTGAGCCTGGTGTGACTCAAGTGGTTTCTGGGATGACTACTTTTTAGTCTTAACAAAATGTTGAAGTAGTGCTACTCTTACTTGAGCACAATTTTTGGATACTCTACCGATTACCAACTGAAATACGGTGGTGAACTCATCCTGCTGTTGGTAGGTAAGCTAATCCAGATTTAATGGGAAGATGGATCCAGCAAAAACTAGGTCAATAGAACTAGAACACCTTGTATCTGCCGTATAAACCCATTAGATTAGAGGTTCATAATGATCCTTAAAATACAGTTAGAGTTGCAAAGAAATTAATCAGATAAAACCACATTCCCATAATGGGATGGCCCAATCAAAGTCTACTTTATAGTTGGATTTTTTAATCTTTGGCAGAAGTTTTAATTTGCTACTTCTAGATCCATCTCCATCCCGGGGTTAAAGGGTATCGACACCCTACAGATCTCATTTGGTGATGTCTGAGGACTGAATTTAAAGCAATTGTTGGATAGAAGCCTTTAGAGAGGGAGAAGGCTGGTCAGAGAGACGAGAAGTGATGCTGCAAAAAAAAGAGAATATTGATTTATAAACATAGACACATTTCTCACACCTAGAAAAGTCTTTAATATCATCTATATCTCACAAAAATAAAGATGTTAAACAAAACGGACTAACCCAGCGGATGAATCTTGCTCTCGAATCCTTCATTCTGCATTTACCAAGTGCTCCAGGTTGTACGGCCATCCTCTTGTGCTCTGCTGAATCTGAGGATGGGAGAGTCGTTTAAAGTTACGAGCTCGCAGGTTGCCGTCAGAGACAAGGCCAGAGCAACCGCTCTATATCTCATCAGGGAGTGACTTTTAACAGATGATGGCTGTAAAGTGTAAAGGCTGCCAGAGGAGTATTTCAAGTGAAGAAAACAGGCCATTTTCCACTCAGGATGACTGGAGTGCCTCAAAGTGGCTTTTGTTTCTCAGCTCTTACAGATGGAACAAAACGGGGCACAGCTGGGACTCTTCTTAGGCACAACTAATCCTTAAACTATTTATCTTTTCTTACGCTTCTTGTTCATTTATGGAGGTTATATTGCTCTATTGGCATCGGCTCACCCAAAAAGGACAAAAAAGGGACAGTGGGAAATTTCCAGTTAACATCACCACAAATTAAACCGACTCTAATTTAAAGCTGAGGCTTCAGGTCTAATTTGCTGCTCATGTGCGAAAAATGCAATTTCCAGCAGCATGAGTTCCCTCTTCCCCGCTGCTTAAACCTTGCTCAATAAAAACAGTAGTTTGAATAAAAGAAACCCTAATTAGTGCCTGCTGACTGTGCACTTGTGTTCCAATCAGCTCGCTAGAAGTGGGATAATTAGTGCTTGGCCAGAGTGTCCAACCCCCCATATTCCTCCCTGGCAACGAACCTACCTGCACATCTGAGACGTGATATGCTCCAAGCCACCAGCAGTCACCAAGTTTAATGTTCCTCATTAACCTTCCTTTGATGCTTGTAGCTCATCAAATAATCCAGGTTACAGGTTAAGGTGGAAATGCTAATCATCTTGGTAGAAGATATAATCAGTAGCTTTTAACTGATCCTACCAGCAAGACACCCATTTTATCAGCTGTTCAAGGGCCAACTTAATAGATTTATACCTGTTAATACATCATTTAAAGCAGTGCCATGTCAGGATAATGGGCTTGATCTTTTTATGTTGAAGATTGCTCCCAGATGCCATTATTTAAAGCTTTCTTTTATGTATAGACTTTTTTTTTTATGTCGATACCGCTTTCTCCGTTTATAAGATAAAAATGACAAGTTAACAAATGTTACACAAGTGTCAAATATAACAAAAAAGAAAGTTATCAACTAATCCAACTAAACATAACAAATGGCAAATGGAGGGAGCAGCAATACATGCGCCTTACAGGATGAAAAGACATGGCTTCTGAATGCACTAATGAATCGGCAAATACATGGTTTAAAAAAAACCTGCAAATATCGGCCAAAAATATCGGTCATCCTGTTTATCCATCTATCTCTAGTGTAATAATATATACAAATTAGAATATTAACAAACAAGAAAATCAATGTTTTAAGTCTAAATTTAGTAGGCCATTTCAGATCTGTTATCTTTTTGAGATTTTCCAGATCTGCTTTAAGTAGACACTTTTACTAACTAATTAGGGCATACCAATGCAGTTAATATCAAAGCTAACAATAAGCTACCTTGAAGG